TAGTGAAGGTTAGACGGGCTTCCGTGCTACTCAGGACGTTTCTGGGCCACTTTCCCAAATGCTTAGCAGACTGTCCTTCAATAGATGAATGGGTAAAGAGGAGGGGACACACACACACAGGAATATTACTTAGCCATAAAAAAGAATGAAATCTTGTCATTGTGACAACATGGAGGGACCTAGAGATTATATGCTAAATGAAATGTCAGACAGAGAAAGAATATATGATTTTACTTCTATGTGAACTCTAAAAACACACACGAACCAACAGAATAAAACAGAAACAGGCTCATAGATGCAGAGAACAAGCTGATGGTTACCAGAGGAGAGGGGGTTGGGGGACGGGTGGAAAAGGTGAAGCGGAGTAAGAGGTACGAAGTTCTAGTTAAAAAGTAGATAAGCCACAGGGTGTGTGTAGAGCATGGGGAATACAGTCAATGATATCACAATAGCTTTGCACAGTGATAGACAGTCACTAGACTTATCATGGTGATCGTGTTATGTTGTATACCTGAAACTAATATAATATTGTGTGCCAACTATACTTTAATAAAAATAAAAAATAAAAGTGTCCAAGAATTACAAACAAATGTTGCCATTGGCGTTGGCGAAACGGTGTCCTGCTGCTTGAAAACATACCCAGCATTCCCTCTTACCCACGATCCGAATTGAACAAACCACTGTTTTTCTTCCATGAAGTTTATGTTAAACTTTACTTAAATAAAATGTGGATTTAATTCAGAAAGGGAATAACCTTGCAAAAAGATCCACAGTGAGACTAAAACCGAAAGCATCCCAATAGCATTTACTCTGTGGTTGTATTTTAACTAAAATGAAGTTGAGCCACACGCAGCTCTTCCGAGGGAGAGCTTCTGCGTAAAGTAAGATATAATGATACACCCAATGCTCGCGGCTGCTTAGCCCAGCTCAGGGCCCACCTCCTTCAAACGCTTTCACATCTACTCCAACTGAAGAAAATGCTCCTCTCTCTGATCCTCTAGCATATTGGGAAATGACCCACTGGTCTTTGTGTATTAGTTTGCTAGTTGCCACAGGCTGGGTGGCCAAACAACAGAAATTTATTTCTCACAGTTCTGGAGGCTGGAAGTCCAAGATCAGTGTGTTGGCAGGTTTGGTTTCTGGTGAGACCTCTCTCCCTGGCTTACAGGTGGCTGCCTCTCACTGTGTCCTTATGTGGCTTTTTCTCTCTTTTTTTAAAGAAAAATATATTTTTACTGATTTCAGAGAAAAGAAGGGAGAGGGAGAGAGAGATAGAAATATCAATGAGGAGAGAGGATCATTGATCGGCTGCCTCTTACAGGCCCCCTACTAGGTAGGGATCGAGCCCGCAATCCGGGCATGTGCCCTGACCAGGAATTGAACCGTGACCTCCTGGTTCATAGGTCTATGCTCAACCACTGAGCCATGCTGGCTGGGCATCTCTCCTCTTCTTAAGAGGACATCTGTCACATTGGATCAGAGTTCCACTTGAAGGACCTCATCTTAACTTAATCACCTCTTTAAAAGCCTTATCTCTAAATATGGTTACATTCTGAGGCGTTGGGGTTTGGGACCCCAACACGCAAATTTTGGAGGGACACATTTCGTCATTCATTTTAGAATATTAGTAGGTACTTGATGTGTCTCCTGTCCTCATCTTGAATGTAGGCTCCCTGGGTGAAAGGCTCTGTTTTAAGATCCTTTGTGTCCCCCAGGAATCAATTGTTCAATGGAATTTTCCTGATCACTGTTGTAATTTTTATTCACATATGTCCTGATGCAAATATAACTCGAAGGAGAAAATAAAATCAGCCACAGTGGCGTCGTGTCAGTGACAGGGCTGGATGATTTCCAAGGTTCCCTACAAACCCTGTGACTGTTCACTTCCCATCACCACCCACGTGACTTCCCATGAAATTCTCCTCCCAGGAAGTTTCAGATATTGGCTTATTTCTTATATGCAAGCCTCCCAAGAGGTTCCAGTCCTGGCTTTTTCTAATTCCCTCTGATGGCTTATTTTCAGGTCTGTATCTGACAGCACCTGAGATCCTGGCCTGATTCAGGCCCAGAAGCTGGGGAAACTGAGGCAGTGTAATGCCTTGCCCAAGTCTCCTCAAGTGTCACCCAGACCCTGAGAAGACTCAATCAAGGTCTTCCAGCTCCAAGGCCAGGGTTCTTTCCAGTAACTCATCCTTCCTCATCACACAAAGAGAAGAATGCCAGGGCTTTGTGTCTTATGGGCAATAATTCACGTAATGAAGTGAGATCATGGTCTCACGAATTCTGGGAAATCCTAAAACAACCTCCCTTTTAATACCAAAAGGATCTAGCATGATCTTTTGCTGGTTCATAAAATGCTCAAATGCTCAAACCATATGTTTAAGTATAATTCCCAATGGTTATATTCTTCCTTATATTAAAGAAATAGGAATTTTTCAACATCAGGTAGAAAAATAAGCATGAAAGTGGGGAAAATTGTCTAAACTTAGCCCAGAGTCAGTTCCAGGACAAGGGAGCTGATACCAGCTTCACGGCTTGGCATCTCCCAGCCTTCACTTCATCAGTAGGTAGGAGACAAGTCATCCCCAATGTCATCTGCACATGAACATAAGCCCTGCTAGACACATCTGTGTTAATATCGCTTCCATAAAAGGGGAAAAGCTGACTTAAGTATCAAGCAGTCTTTCAAATCAGATTACACATTTTACCATCTAAATATAAGGTGTCCCACAATGGAATACTATGCAGCTGTAAGAAAGAAGGACCTCTTACCCTTTGAGAGAGCAAGGAAGGGCCTGGAGAGTATTATGCTAAACGAAATAAGCCAGTCAGAGAAAGACAAGTACCCCATGATCTCACTTATATGTGGAATCTAATGAACAAAATAAACTGACAAACAGAACAGACCCAGAGACATGGAAGCATGGAACAGACTGAGGGATCTCAGAGGAAGGGGGGTGGAGGGTGGGAAGAGATTAACCAAAGAACTTATATGCATATATGCAAAACCCATGGACACAGACAATAGTGTGGTGAAAGCCTGGGGAGGGGGCAGGAGTGGGGTGGAGGGGTCAATGGCGGGGAAAGGGGACATCTGTAATACTTTCAACAATAAAGATAAATTTTAATAAATAAATATAGGTTGTCCCCCCAAAAATGTATACACACTTTGAATAATTATGAAGGCAGTGTTTATTAAAATATATTTTATTTTCAAAATTGAGCTATTAGTTGTTAAAGTGTGTATACGTTTTAGGGGGACACCCTGTATATATTGGCATAACATGTAGCTTCCTCAGGCTAAAGTCAGTTTGGAAGTGAAGGTGAGATCTTTGTCAAGCACCCATGGAAGGGACAAGAGAAAACATCCATCCTGAACCGAAGGCCTGTCTTTGGGTGACTGAGGCGTGATGAAAATCCCTGGTGCCAATGTCAGGGATGCGGGCCTGACAAATAAAAGCCCGTACCACTGGCCTGGTTCCTCTGTGCAGACTGCAATGGTCCCTTTTTATGCCCTGGAGTCTGACTTTCTGAAACGGATTCTGTTCATTTTCCACCGAGATCGGGGAAACTGCACGTGGCAGCTTATGAATCGCGCCTCCCAGTCAGGCTCTGAAAGACGACGGGAGTGCAGCGGGCTGCATGTGTGAAGCTCGGGGACAGAGCTGAGGTCGGGCTGGGACACACAATGGCATCTGTGTGTGACCCAGCAGCCTGCAAACTGCTTTCCTGCGAGGGGCAGCGTGCCCAGGGAGGACCGGAGCACTTCTGTCGCCTGCTTATCTGGAGACGCTGCTGCACGTCTGGTGGGGGAGTTTAAAAACCAACACGCGCGTTGTTCGCTTGGCACGGACTGGATTTTTCCCCCCATCCGTGCCTTCATTTCTAGTTCTCCAGTCTCTTTCCCCTTTAATTTTATGGCATCTGTCCATACACATGCATGTAGGACCCACACATGAAGTCAGAGATCTCAGGGGTCTTCGCGGGCTCCGCGACCTTGCCGTTCTGTGCGGATCCGTGATGAGATGCGAGTCCTCGCCTCCTTCCTGCAAGTGTAATTTATAGGGTTTCCCTGTGCTCAGAGCACGTAGCAAAGTTCAGCATAAGCAGCAGTAACTGTGCGTTCCTAACAGCCTCCCTGGACAGTTTGCTAAATTCTTTCTGAGCACGCCTTGCTGGCCCTCGCAAAGGTTGCTGAAAAGCCAACTGGGAGTCAGGGATCCAACCGAGTGAGCTGAAAGTCCCTGCTATTGCGCAGACAGGGGATCAAGTTCATGGAAGCACCCTGGCTCTCTGGCGATCCCAGACGAAGGTCATCTTCAGGCTAAGCCCAGCTTTCTCTGACCCAGGCACAGTCTGGGCCAGCTGGCATTTCTGTTCCGTTTGTTTGTTGTTGTTGTTTTTAACAGATGCTACAAGTTAAAAATGGGAATCTAAAGCACAACACACTTTCCCCCTTCTCCCTGCTATTTGACCTGGCCCAAAAGGCCAAAGAAGGGCCAAGTGGCATTGCTAAGTAACTCTTCAAGATCTGTCAGAAACATTTCTTCCAAGTGCTCCAGGAATGCAAGTGTGACTTGCATAGCCCAGCACTTTGATAAACAAGCCAAATGCCTCCAGGATGACGGATGACTGCAGAGCAAGGGGACGGGAGGAATCTGGTACAGACACATGAGGACCGGATGACTCTTTAAACTTGAACTTGGAAAATATGGAGTTAGCTAGAATTTTGATTTGCAAAACAAATAACCCCTTTTTAAATCATCTCTACATGTGGCTCTCTGTTCCCCACACTGAGAATCCAAAGCAGGTCCTTGGTAAGCTCTTGGTATACAACACAACCATGAAAAAACAATCTCGGCCAAGGACACTAACTTCCTGTTGCTCTCAAAGGACTAGGGAAACCTGAGCGTTTAAATAAGACTCCGTTGCCAGGCACTCGCTGTTCCCTGTTGGACTCTAGCACCATCCTCCCCACCCCGGAGAGGACAGATACTCACCGGTCATCAGGGTGTAGTAGTTGGGATAAGAGAGGCTGGGGAAGTCTGGGGTCAGGTAGTCCACTTTCACTCCCCTGCTCACGATCTCCTTGAAACCAGGCAGGGACTCCAGGGCCTCGTCACTGATGTAGTCTGAGCGAAAACCATCCAGCAGAAACACCAGCAGCTTCCGGTGGGCAGAGGCTGGCAGGGCCGGGCCGAGCGCGAGGACCAGCAGGAGGGCCCCGAGCGGCAGGGCCATGCTGCCAGGAGCCTGGCTGAGCTGGCTGGCACAGCCGTCCCCTCGCAGAGACTGAGGATGGGGAATCTGTAGCTATTCTCTATTCTAGGGGCTGGACCTTGACTGCTGGCCTTCCTGAGCCAAGTTCACTTTCAGAATTTAAAGGTACAGCACCCATTTTTAAAAAACACCCACGCTCACCCTTTACTAGAAAATCAGGAGACCTAGTCCTTTGGAGAAGCTGAATCCCCAGACAACCCAGGATTCACACCAGGGGAGAAAGTGCAACCTTATTATTTTGGGTCAATGTTCCAGAAATACAGGAACCCACAGAGAGGTGGAATTTTCGAAGACAACAGAAGTCAGTACTAACTTTGCCGTTGGGCTCACCAAAGGGAGGAGCCAAGGGAAAGGGCAATCTTTTAATTTGCTCTTGTCCCACGTCGTTGCTCGATTTAAACTCTCTTACTGGCTTGGTCACCTACAATTTAGGAATGCAAACCTCTTAACTCAGTGTGCGAACAAGAGATGATAAAATTCGGTGGGCACATTGTGAATTTTTCGGCAGTGTGTCTACTGGCCTAGCATTCACCAACCAATTGTTTGTCTATGTCTCAGCCACTTCTTTCTCCGATGTAGCTATCTACAGTGTTTATTGCTTTATTTTTCAAGTTGCTGGTGTCCAGACTCATCCGTAGGAGGGGGTGGTTCTCAGCAGAGCCATAGAGCCAGAGTGGGACAGCAGGGGGCATTATTGGCAGGTTGCTCTGAGGCAGCACAGCCAGGAGGGCAATGAGATGGAGAGACGGAGGGTGAGCGTTTGCAATGGAAAAGTGGAGCTGGAAACGATGCGGGCTGCACCACCCGAAGGACAGGCAGGGGAGAAAAGCGGAGGCTGGCCCGGCGGTCAGGGAAGTAGAGCAAGGCACAGGTGGGCGAGGAGACTGAGCACTAAGGCCAGATTCTCAGGGTTCCCCAGGGTAAGTCTTTCACTTGGCAGAAAATTAAAAAGGCTTATAAAACGTGCATGGCCCAGAGCAAGAGCTAAACAAATGCTAGCTATTCTTAGCATCATATCGTTGCTTGCATCCTGAGGAAACCTGCAAGGCTCGGGGACAAGCTCCACAAGGACTGAAGGCTCTCGGACACCAGCGCCCTGACCTGGGTCAATTCTAAACGCCTCTCTCACCTCCGGCCTCTGCCTGGGCCCCCTCTCCTCCTGTACTTAGAGTCAAGCCCTTCCCTGAGACAACCAAGACCACCGGTCACTTTCTAAACTGTGCCACCAAAAGGGAAACACACCAGACAAATTACCATTAGGGATCAGACTTCGTTCTTCCAATAAAAATAATGCTTTTTACAATTAAAACTAAGAAAAAGAAGGGAGCTTATTCATAATGTTTGTTAGTTTGAAAAGACAGTGTTTTTATAGATCCTTGAGTTGCAGGGCATTTTTATTCTAAACAGAAAAAATAAAAGGGGTGGAACGAAGT